AGTGGGACCCTGTGTACATAATTTTGTTCCATCACATGTACCATTCATTCAACCTTTATTTAGACAGGTAAATCCCATTGAGCCTCGAGGACTCATTTACAAGAGAGACCTGATTTCAACAAAGAAAGATGACAACAATGGACAACAGCAACAACAATAAACAGTTATAAAAAGTCATACTGCAGGTGTTTTTTTTTTGTTTACCAAAAAGGAAGGCTAAAAGAAAAAGGTAACAAAACAAAAAAAAAAAAGAGGTAGATTCTAAGGCGAATGTAGAAAAGTAAAAACAGGAACATGTCTGCATTGGTCCCTGCCAGGAGTCCAACAGATTCTTAAAGCCACTTAGAGAGGTCAAGGTCGAGAGCTTCAGATCTTTTTGTAAGATATTCCAGGAAACAGGAGCGGAGTAGGAGAAGGTCCTGTTGCCTAGTTCAGTCCTCACTGAGGGAACACTGCAGGTAATAATGTCCTGAGAGCGCACGCTGTAGCTGCACTCACACAGAGACATGTAGGAGGAGATGTATGAAGGCAGCAGACCAAGAAGTGATTTAAAGATTAAAATGTACCAGTGAGAGAGTCTGTGTGAAGTTAATGATGTCCAGTTAACCAGTGGATACAGGGTGCAGTGGTGGGTACGATAATCACAGCCAGTTATGAATCTTAGTGCACCATGATAGACGGCATCCAACATCTGCAGGGTTCTTGTAGGAGCGTTCATGTAAATAATGTCATCATAATCAATTGAGGGAAGGAAAGTCACAGATACAAGGCATTTTCTAGCATTCAGGGTTAGACAGGATCTGTTTCTGAAAAAGAAACCCACTTTAACTTTCAGTTTCTTTACCAAGTTTTCCACATGGAGCTTAAAAGAGAGATGTGAGTTGACCAAGATACACAAATATTTATAGGAATCAACAAACTCGATGGGGACACTATTTGAGGATAAAATCGGAGGAAGAACTGCTGGGACCAACTTTTTATTTGAAAAAAGCATCCCTTTGGTTTTGTCGGCATTTAGGACAAGTTTGAGACGGAACAAATCTGTCTGGATAATGTTGAATGCAGATTTCAAAAGCTGGAAAGCCTTAGCAACAGTTTTAGCTCGGCAATAACATTTATTTTGACCCATCAAAATAAATGTGGTCATTTATTAACAGAATCAAAATTTAACATCAAAACATTGTACACTTGATTAGACTGATCTGGTTCTGATTAATAAAACTTGGCACGTTTTACTTAATAAAAACAACAGACATTTCTGAAGGCATCTGGATTAATTACTGGCAAGACAGAAGTTTAAAGATGGGAAATGAAAGAGTTTAAAAGTAGAGAAAATGTGGAGGAAGATGTATGTCTGTAGACCAGAACAACACGCTCCTTTCAAACGCAGCTCGCCGTGGTACACTTGCAGTGAAACCAGTGACGACTCTTTACCTTGGCGGAGAATGGGTCAGCTGCGGTCAAGAGGTCCCTGGCACGCTACCTTTCAGTGTCTCCTCAGGGCGGCTGCGACTCGGCAGAAGTCGTGAGATAATCCGTTCCACAGAACAAACTTCCTCAGCAGTTATAGGGCATTCGCCGGGTGGAGCCACAGCGAGGCGTCGTGGCTTCTGCAGAGATGGATGACTCCATCAGCCTGGAAAACTGAGTCTGAAGTTCCACTCAGCAGTGGAAAAACTCCAGAACTACTCCACAGTACTCCAAGAGACTCAGAAGAACTTCAGAAGAACTCCAGCCGAACTCCATCAGACCCAGAAGAACTAACTGAACTAGGAAGTGTCGACTTTTAAAGAGTTCTGCTTCTGGTCACTTTTAGGAAGTCCTGATTGGTTGAAGGAACCAACAGGGGTGTGGTTTTAGTGACGTCAGAGGGTCATTACAAGTCAGAAAACAGCCGGAATGTTTTGAGAACGGTTAGTTACAGACGAGAAAATATTTTGGAGAGATGACAGACTTACAGGTGCCAGTTTTCTTATTTACTGTCTGAGAGGTTTAAAAACACGACAGCTCGTTCCAATAACTTGTTTCTTGACTGTCTCCGACTTTTGACTGACATCACTCTTCTCATTTCAGACAGAAGATCAAAAATGCATAATTACTTTGTAAAATAGACATTTAACTTGATTTCTACTTTGAATGAGGATTAAAAAATCATTAATACTGTTTCACAGTTGATTTAAAATGAGTGGTTCACTTCAACATTTAAAAATGGTATGAACTGAACACACTTTTGATTATCAAGATATTGTAAAATAGTAATGATAATATAAAAAGAAGAGTGTTCTTTCAATTGATTAGTTCAGGATACAATTAGAAAGTCTCTGGATGAGCTAATTTGTATTTCTGGATTCAAATCAATGAAATAACAGTTCCTGTCCCATAAAGGTCTTCAGAGGCAGGTTTTGGTCGGAGGCCTAGTTCACTACAACGACAATAAACAAACTCTGACTCTGACTAACTTTATCTCCCAGTTGTACAATCTGTGCTGTACCTCTGATGATATAATTCAACATAGCTGTTCTCACCACTGTCTTGTAACCTTTTCCTTTGACCCTTTTGTCACAAATCACTCCTGAAACTTTTCTCCATCACTCCATCCTGTCTGGACTCTGTTCTTCACCTCTTTACCACACTCCCCATGTTCCTGGACAGTGGACCCCAAGTCCTTGAAGTCCTGCACCTTTGTGACCTCTGCTCCTTGTAGCCTCACTGTTCCACCTCCTCCCTCTCATTCACACACATGGACTCTGTCTTACTACGGCTGACTTTCATTCCTCTTCTTTCAAGTGCATACCTCCACCTCTTCAAGTTCTCTTCCACCTGTTCCCTGTTCTCACCACAGATCACAATGCCATTTGCAAACATCATCGTCCACGGGGATTCCTGCCTGACCTCATCTGTTAGTCGGCCCATCACCAGAGCAAACAAGAAGGGACTCAGAACCAATCCTTGATGCACTCCCACCTCCCCCTTGAAGCTATCTGTCATTCCTACAGCACCACTGTCCTGCTGTCCTCATACATGTCCTGCTGTCCTCATACATGTCCTGCTGTCCTCATACATATCCTGCTGTCCTCATACATGTCCTGCTGTCCTCATACATGTCCTGTTGTCCTCATACATGTCCCGTACCAGTCTAACATACTTTTTTGCCACTCCAGATTTCCTGATGCGATACCACACCTCTTCCCTCGGCACTCTGTCATATGCTTTTTGTAAATCCACAAAGACACAATAGAGTTCTTTCTGACCCTCTCTGTTATTCTCCATCATCATCCTCAAATCAAATATGGATCTGTGGTGCTCTTTCTTGACATGAAACCATACTGCTGCTCACAGATAGTCACCTCTCGTGTAAGTCTTGCTTCTACAACTCTCTCTCAGATCTTCATCATGTGGCTCATCAACTTAATTCCCCTGTAGTTGCTACAACTCTGTACATCACCCTTGTTCTTAAAAATGGCCACCAGCACACTTCAATCAATCAATCAATCAATTAAACTTTATTGTCCATAACATTCAATGAAATGGAGATTTGTCTTTGACATTTGGCTTATAAAAACAAAATAAAAATGTGATTAAAAAACTTTAAAAACTTTAACACCAAGCTTTGCTAAATCAATTACAAACATTCAGTTAAAACCATTCTAAAATACACAATACATTAAAATATGGAAACATCCCAGCAGACAGTAGTTTGTCATGTGAGGCTGCGTTTAAATAGGACCTTGTGAAGTACATTCACCGCAGAGGGAACAAATGACTTTTTGTACCATTTATCTTCACCAGTGGAACCAGCAGTCTTCTACCAGATGGTACCAACCTGAATAATGGTTGCAGTGAATCAGTTGGCTCATTGTAAACCTGGATTGACTTTTTTCCAGAACCTGACTGTACAGGTCTGTAAGTGTCATTTGTTGATGACCAATGACTTTACTACCTTGTCTGACCACCCGGGACAACTTGTTCCTGTCTCTGACTGGGAGGTTCCCATACCATGCGACAATATTAAATGAAACAACACTTTCAACCAGTGACCTGTACACCAACTGCAAAGTAATTTTGCTTGCATTAAAGCTCCTTAGCTTATACAGAAGGTGGGGATGCTGTCTGGCTTTTTTGTAAATATAGTCGGTGTTGGGCTCAAAGGTCAACTTGTTGTCAATTATTGTTTCAAGGTATTTAAAATCAGTCACCTGCTCTACTTCCTGCCCTAAGGCCTAAATGTAGGTCTGGTGCTGGCTGCTCCCCATCTACCTCCCAAACAAAGTTCCTTGGTTTTACTGACATTAAGGGCCAGAAAACTGTTATCGAACAAGGCAGAGAGCTGATCTATGAGCTGGGAGTAGGAAGGGCTACTGGTGTCTTTCAGACCAGCAACTAGGGCAATGTCATCAGCATACTTAATTAAAGTGAAATCTTTACTGTTGTGTTGTGCATATAGAGAATAAAAGAGGCGATAGCACGCAACCCTGCGGAACACCAGTGTTCAAGACCCTACAGTCAGACAGAGTGTTATCAACACAAACTCGCTGGGGTCTTCCTGTTAAAATTTGCTAATCCACAACACAAGGTGGCTGCTGACATTTAGATCACATAGACGTTTAAAAAAAAAATACTTCTTCTTCAATTCTACATTCCTCAAGCATTTTCTCACCCTCAAATATGCCATTGAATATCTGAGTCAAAACCCTCACTGCCATCTCTCCAAGACATTTCCAAACAACCACTGGTATGTCATCAGGTCCTACTGCCTTCCCATTCTTCATTCTTTTCAGAGCTTTCTGGACTTCACCCTCACTAGTCTTTCATATACATTATAAAAGCCAATTGGTAAAAAGTTATCTTTCTAAGGAAGCAGCAGATTGTGTTGAATCTTCACTTTGTCACAGTCTCCCATACTGAGCAAGCACAAAGGAGACAGCGGAAAAGAAGACAACGCCTGTTTACTGGGAGTTACCTAATATCACACCTGTTTACAGGGACAGACAGGACTTTACCTGGACAATGTCTGAGTGTCTCTCTCTCTCCCTCCAGTTTGCTTCGTCCGTACACGTTGAGAGGATTTGGAGAGTCGTTCTCTCCATATGGAGGGTTCCGCCCATCAAACACGTAGTCCGTGCTGATGTAGATGAATGAGGCTCCACAAACAGCTGCAAACATGCATCATATGTTACAGACATGATCACAGGTCTCTCTTTTAAATGTCCTCGTGTCTCAATGAGACTAACCTGTATAAATAAAGGTTGAAAGACTGAACTGGCAGATAGGCAGAACACCTTCAATTCATTATCCAGGTGTAATAAAAAAGCAACACACTAGCATTCTAAGACTATACCAGCCTTTCAAAAACCATGTTCATCCTTAACTATAGGATTTATCACAAAGTAAAGTCTACAGTCTAGTCTTAAAAGTAGGCAGTGTCAGCCTCACAGACAGAAACAGGAAGAACTGAAAGCTCTGCCTTCCATTTTACTTTTAGAAACTCTATCAACCACAAGTAAACCTGCAGTCTGAGAGTAAAGTGCTTTGTTAGGAAAATATGGAGTAATAAATGCTTTAATTTAAGATGGAGCTTGGTTGTTGAGAGCTTTAGGAAAGCAGTTACAGGCTTCTTGTGAGAGTTTAAACATTCATTCAACCTTTTTTGATACATACTGTGATCTTTTTGTAAAGAACTTTGGTAACAGTTTCTGTTTTAAATGTGCTCTATAAATAAATCTTGACTTGATACCGGTTAGTCCCACTGAGCCTCAGGGACTCATTTACAAAAGACCTGATTTTAACAGAGTGCTGACAACAGTGGACAATCGTAAAGAATGTGTACAAATTGAGAATAACAAGTGAAAATGAAATGGTATTTAAAAAAATGTAACAAAAAACCCCAGCTAGGTTATAAGGCAGTGTAGAAAACTAAAAACAAGAACATGTGTTAGATGGTCAAAGACAGTCCACTAACTCGCTCCTCCACTCCACAGAACCTAACATGAACACTGGCATCCAGATGTTCCAGATGTGTCTTAAGTGACAAACACATTTTTCAGATGAACATGGAGTCAGTGAAGGAGCTGTTGTAACACAGTAAAAATGACATAATCTGTCCCTTTGTCTGGTTTCTTTGGTGTTCATTTCCTTTCTAATTCTTATGTTTGACTCTGTGTTCTCTGTCATTCTTTACTCACTCCTTAGCCTGTCATCCAAGTCACCTCTCCGAGTCTGTGAGAATGGTCCCGCCTACAGACTTGCCTCCATGTTGCACAGTGGGTGATGAGGAAGAGACCTCACTACCATATTGCTCAGTGGATATCAAGGACAACAAACCATCTGCCTGTCCTCTTCCTGGTCGCAACCACAAGAGAGCCCAATGATGGACTCAAGCATGGTCCACCAAACCCCAAGCCCTCTCTCTGCCTGAGTCGGCCATGCCACGAGAGTCACCAGCGTCCTAGTCAGGTCCAACTTTGCTATGTCAAGCTCAGCCCAGTCCTGTCCAGTCTATGAAGCAGTCGAGTCATGTCCAGCACAGGAATAAACCGAGTCAGCCTTCATTTGTGTCTCCAGTGGTGCCCGAGTCCTCAGAGATCCTCACGTCTCCAGAGGTTCTTATGTCAAGTCAAGTCAGATTTATTTATAGAGCACATTTTAAACAGAAACTGTTACCAAAGTGCTTAACAAAAAGATCACAGCATCACAAACATTTCCTTGGATGACGTTGCACGTTCGTGGTGAGACGTATTGTGTCATTTCCTGTTTGTCTGTCGGTAGCTCAAGTGAATTGTTTGCTCGAGTCGTCTCTGTTTTCTGGATTTATCTGTCTTTTGCACAATTTTTCATTCTAGTTCACAAACACACTTAGTACAGTTGTTTTTCTACTGTTGGATAGTGCTTAAAACACCTCTTATCTTTCAACACGTCTCGGTTTTTATTGGTGTATTTGGCTCTGTTAGCTCCTGCTAGCGTTAGCTTAGCATGGCTGCTGCTTCTCTCCCTGCTTCCTCTGTTCTCACTTGATCCACATGTCAGATGTTTAGTTACTCCTCTGCCTCCTTTAGTGGTAATGATACATGTAACAAATGTAGTCTTATGGTAGCTTTGGAGGAGAGGCTGTCTGAACTGGAAGCTCGGCTCCTCGCTGTAGAAAAACCAGTAGCTAGCCAGGTCCCCTTAGACAGCGCAGAACCACAGAGGCTAGCTCCCGTTAGCGGTCCTCCATCAGACCCCGAGCAGCCGAGACCCCAGGCCAGCTGGGTGATGGTCGGAGCAAGCGTAGTGCTAAGGCTAAGCCCCCAGTTCATCACCGACCCATTCACGTTTCTAATCGATTTTCCTCACTCAGTGACACACCCGCTGAGAAGCAGACCCTGGTTATTGGAAGCTCCATAGTCCGAAATGTGGCTTTAGGGACTCCAGCAGCCATAGTTAAATGCATTCCGGGGGCCAGAGCGGGCGACATAGAATCTTATCTGAAACTGCTGACTAAGGCTAAATACAGTAAGATTGTTGTTCACGTCGGCGGTAATGACACCCGGTTACGCCAATCGAAGGTCACTAAAATTAATGTTGCTTCGGTGTGTGACTTTGCTAAAACCATGTCAGACTCCGTAGTTTTCTCTGGCCCCCTCCCCAACCTGACCAGCGATGACATGTTTAGCCGTATATCATCGTTTAACCGCTGGGTGTCCAGGTGGTGTTCTGACAACGACGTGGGCTACATAGATATCTGGAGTTCTTTCTGGGGAAAACCTGGTCTGATGAGGAGAGATGGCATCCATCCCACTTTGGACGGAGCCGCTCTTCTTTCTAGAAATATGGCTGATTTTGTTTATCCCCCAAATTATTGACAACCCAGGGTCCAGTCCAGGAAGCAGAGTTGTAGTCCTCCACCCCTCTCTGCTGCTTCTCCTCTGTTACCCACCCACACCCACACTGAAACAGTGTCAACTCGCCCACGGCTCAAATTAAATAAACCAAAAATCAGCTCTAAAAATATAAACCATAAAAATCTGATTAAAATAAACACAGTTACTTTACCAGAGCAAAATCATAAAATCCTTAAATGTGAATTATTGAACATCAGATCTCTTTCCTCTAAATCCCTGTTAGTTAATGAACTGATAACTGATCATCATATTGATTTATTGTGTCTGACAGAAACTTGGCTACAACAGGAGGATTTTGTTGGTATAAATGAATCCACTCCTGTTAATTATTTAAATGTTCATGTTCCTAGAACAACTGGCCGAGGTGGAGGAGTAGCTTCTATGTTTCAGACAGGATTATTGATTAATGTCAAACCAGTTATTAGTTATGATTCTTTTGAATCGCTGTCCCTCAGTCTTTCTCATCCAAAATGGAAATCAGAAAAGCCACTTTTACTACTCGTTAGATATCGTCCACCAGGCGCTTACTCTCAGTTTGTGTCTGAATTCTCTGAATTATTAACTGACTTACTATTAAATACTGATAAAATCATCATAATGGGTGATTTCAATATTCATGTAGATGTTGAGAGTGATAGTTTAAGCATAGCCTTTAATAATTTAATAGAGTCATTTGGTTTTACCCAAAACGTCCACACATCTACTCATTCTTATCATCACACTCTTGATTTAGTTCTGACCTATGGTATGATTCCAAGATGGCGCCGGGGTGTAGGGCTGCCCATCTCTCGCTCTCTGCTTGTATTGTATTTTTGTTATTTTTACAATGGTTGGTGCAGTGTGCCGAATCATATTTTCAGTATGATCGTCGGGCACTTTTGGAGCTCCGTACATTTGCTGAAATTCCTGCGGAGTTTTTGTACAGCGGTCAGCAGTCTCCTCCACCGGTCCTGTCTGAGATTCCTGCATTCCTTCTGCGTGACCGTGGGTAGAACTTGTTTAAAAAATGATGCAGGAATGGGATCAGCAGCAGGGGAACCAGAGAAGGAACCCCCCCCCCCCCCCGAACATAGTAGGATCTGCAGTGAAAGTGGTCTCCAGCTACAAGTACTTGGGTGTAGTACACATGAATGACAACCTCAGCTGGAGCAACAACACCACCAGCCTGCTCAAGAAAGCTCATCAGAGACTCTACTTCCTCAGGCGGCTGAGATGAGCTGGTCTGGGAAGCTCAGTCCTCACCTCCTTCTACAGGTGTGCAGTGGAGAGCATCCTGTGCTCCAGCATCAACGTGTGGCATGGAGGCTGCACAGCTGCAGAAAGAAAAGCTTTGCAGAGAGTGGTGAAGGCTGCACAGAAGATGTTGGAGTCAGTCTCCCCACCATCACAGACATCTACACCTCCAGATGCAGGAAGAGGGCCACCTGCATCATGAAGGACCCCACTCACCCAGCACACACACTTTTTGCCCTGCTCCCCTCAGGAAGGAGGTTGAGGAGCATTAAGTGTAGAACCACTAGACTGAGGAACAGCTTCTACCCTGAGGCTGTTGGACTCATGCATCTCTAACCAGAATACTCACTGTGAAAAATCACATCAACAAAGTGCCTGACAAACTTGTTACAGGTTCCGTCCGGCTCTCTGAGTCGCTGAACATCGAATTCGATTGGAAGGGGGACCAACTTTAGTCCGTTTAGAAAAACTGGTCAGTTTGATGATAAAAGACTACAGAGTAGTCGGAGGGAGCTGCCATCCATCAGCTTGTCGGAACTTGAATTAAACCACAACTTCACTAAAGAGCAAAATCCCCCACTCAGACCAGTTGAATCCTTCTTTCTCTCTCTCTTACAAACATCCTCTACACTGAGTTAAGTTAAACTTAAAAAACATAATAATTAAAGGATGCCAAAATCTCACTGTTCTCCACACAGCCAACATTGAACCAACAGTTCGAGCACATGCTCTCCGTGTGGGTTTTGTCTCCTCATCTTTCCCTTCCTTCAACCCCCCCCCCCCCTTTCCCCACCTGACGGTGAAGGCGGGCGCTGAGGATAGTTGCTCAAGCACACAAGGTAGAAAGGTGATATTTAAACAAACGTTTAAGACACTGAGATCCCCCCACCTCCACTAATCCGGATTACGGACCCATGGTAGGAGCAAGCGCTCTACTTAGGGGTTTTCCCTCCTCACTTTTCAGCCTCCCTCCTTCACCTGCTGGTGCAGGTGTGCGCTTAAACTGAGCCCTCCCTCGCAAGCGACGCTAGATTTCCCCA